ATTTTCTTTTCCCCGAAAAACGTCAAAACAAAACGTACAAAAGTCATTTTAAAATTGCCTCAGGATACAATTTCATCTCCAACTTGTTTTTCTTTATATTTATTTTGTTTTGAATGATATACAGAGTGATTTAATTGCATTTTTAAGCTAATATTGCACCCAAATTTTTATTAAGCCATAATTCACAATTAAAACCGCTGGGGATTTCATCGTTTCGTTATTTTAGTACAAATTGCAATCAACCACGCATATTTTCCTCTTCCTCTATTCGTAAATGTCTTCATCTTGCGTTTCTCTTTGGTTAATCGTTTAACTTTGCACACAGAGATGATTCTTACTAAAATTTTCTCATTTCTTCTACCCTTCTTTTTCCCTTTACATTAGATGAGTAACATGAGATGATTCTTTATGTTTTTCATCACTTTAAAAGCAACAGTATGCCCCATCTTTACAGCATTAATTTTACGGTTGGTTTCACTTTCATTCCGGGCGTTTGGCTCAACACCTCCATGAAATGTAACAAAATTTTAAGAAAAAATATTAAATTTCTTTGTTTTTGAATATTTTACAATTTGTAACACTTCTATGACATGCAAGGGGTGAACTGTTGCGTCTCACTTGCAACATCAGTGTTTTCCCTTGCATTAATGTTGCAGAATAGCAGCGGGCAATTGTAGCAATCATCTTTATAATGAAAGGCAGTGAAAAGGGAGGCGAAAGGCAATAAGTCGCCACCCCTCTTGTTCGGGGACCGGGCGTGTCGAAGAAGAATATTAAAACGCTTGATTTGTGGCCACTGGCGTTTGGTCCACGGTTACACATATCATCAACATTTCAACAAGGGTGTTTTTAATACCTACATAACACCATCTCTATAATATAAAAATAAACCGCAAAATTTGTTGGTAAGCGCATAACTCAACAACGCATAGACCAAATTGGCCGGTTCTTTTTTTTTTTTAAATGTTTGTTAAAGTCCAAGGATGGTTTTTACGGCAAGAAAAATTCGAATAATTGACGGGAAAACCCGAAAGACAGGCCTTTCCTATATGATCAAAGTTGGTATTGAGATTCAATCATAGTTATAGTTAAAAAGTTGAATCCGAGGTGGCGCGCTGAAGTGCATTATTAACAATTCTTTATATAATTAATTTCTTTAAAATAAAATTGCGAATCTTATTGATCGAATTGACACATACTATGTCTAGAACAAGAGAGTAAAAACAAATTACATTTTTATTAAACACTACCGGGACGAAGTCGCCGGCAAAAGCTAGTTATATATTCAAGATGTTTTTTTTATTCTAGTGTTTGTAGTTTGTATCTGTTTGTAAATTTTTGGTCCGCACACAGTGTACCTACAACTGAGTCTGTTGCCAGTATGGATTTGCCATTAAAAGGACTAGCATGCAGCATTCCCTGGCTGCCTATGGTAACGCCTGCGATGCGCAGGCCCAAATTGCACGTGCGCGAGTTTTACGTTACGCTAGACGGCTGCCTACACCGCCACCGCCACAGGGCGTACAATACGACTACAACGTGTTCGGCCTTTTCCTGTCCCAACACCAAAATGCCCTTTATTTTCCTACCGGCGTCTGCATACTGAACAGTGGAAGCAAGACAAGAAATACAAACGTTTTTCATTTTATTTTCGGACTTTTCATTCACTTCTCTTTTGTCAAATGCATAAAACGAACTTTTGAGACTTCACAACCGTTGCCTTTTTCTTATCAGACTGGTGTTCGTTTTTTGTGTGTTATCAGCTTATCACGGTGCGATTTTGTATTCTTTGAGTTTCCTGCCACTGTTGCAGTTAAGATGAGATGAGACGCAGAGAAAGGCAAAGCGTTAAATGGGGATTAGATTGCGTACAGGAAGCCGGAAACTGGGCGTCACTGCAAACCATTGGAAGGCGCAGCAAGAGAAGAGAAGATCGTGCTATAAATCTTTTTACAAGTCAAAGTGCCTGGTAAAATGCTGAGGAGTGCAAAAAGATTAACACCTTTTAAATTAAACCAAACTGCCTACAAAAAAAAAAAAGAATTTTACGAAAAAGTATGTAAATTTAATTCAAATTTTTAGGATCTTTTAGGTTATATTCAAAAAAATAATAAATTAAAGTATAAAAAGTATTCGCCCCCGGGTGGGATCGAACCACCGACCTTTCGGTTAACAGCCGAACGCGCTGCCGATTGCGCCACGGAGGCGACGAGAACTACGTCAAAACACAATTTGTGAAAACATACAAAATGTATAAGTAAAACCCATAACAACCAACAATAAATTTATCATGATTATTACTAGTCTACGATATCACTCATCAAGCAGTATCTCATCGGGTTGTGCTGGTATTTCGATTGCGGCCATGTAAAGGCCAACACGGGACTATAAAGGACCGCGAAGGGCCGAAGGGACCGAAATGTTTCGCGCAGTGCACTTCATCAAATGTGTCCCTGGGCCTCCAACATGCACACAATTTACAATTTGCGCATAGCGCAAAACACACCCGAACATGTTCTGGCACACATTCAAACATGCAACCCTCGCTTAATACAAATTTGTAGCCAGATAGAGATGCGCGGTAAATGTCAAAAGATGGATGTGCGAAATTAGGGTCTCTCGATAGGGTTTACAAAAGATATACTCAATTACGTTCGAGAGACATGGGTCACTGTTACAAATTCATTGCCCATAACATAGAATATTCAAAAGCGGACAACAAAGATCTCATGAATCATGTAATGTCACAATATTCAACTTAATTAAACCGTAAAATCACATAACCTAACATGTAACTAACCTGTATAGTTTCCTGCGGTGTGTACTTCCGTTCGTTGCGGTCGCCCATTTTCTTCTCCGCGGCCTTAATTGCACTTGTCTCAAGTTATTGTTGGCGTAAACGTTCGAGCACACGCAATGACCAGCCATACTAATCGTTGCAAAGTTCTGCAAGCAGACATAACCACAAACGTGATAAACATAACCTTGCACATGCATAATAATAACAATGAAAAAGTTTAGAAGACATTTGATTAGTGAGTTAGTTACAGGGTTGTTTGAACATTTCGCATGCATGTAATAACGTACATGCCTTGCATGCCTATTGTAAGGGTTGCTGTTGATAACAACATGCATAACATCAACGCCGTAGGAGACACAATATACATGCATGCAGAGGAGTTGGCCGGGAAGTAATGTGTAAAGTTTTGTGCATTGCAGGCACGTATCATCCTGCTATTCGAATTTACCCTTCGAGTGTCGTGGCATGCAGTCGCGTGTTAAAGTCATCAACGCTTGCTGCCGGCATGCTAAGAACTGCGGAAAATCTACTCGTGGAAGTTCAAAGGAGTGTCCTTTTCGGAAATTATATTATCATGGTATATATTTTTGATAGAAGTATGTATGTGGGAAGAGATCAAAGGGTTTTATAATAAACTAAAAAGTTTAAAATTTTGCCGCCCCCGGGTGGGATCGAACCACCGACCTTTCGGTTAACAGCCGAACGCGCTGCCAATTGCGCCACGGAGGCTGATGAATGTCACTTTCATATAATTTTTGACAGAAATACAAAATTGAGGTTAGAATAACTAAAATTGCTAAAAACAATCGCCCCCGGGTGGGATCGAACCACCGACCTTTCGGTTAACAGCCGAACGCGCTGCCGATTGCGCCACGGAGGCTTGTGATAACAAGCAAAACATAAATAATAAAATAATAATAATAAAATACACATTAAATCAACACAATATTTAAAACAACCGTCCATTTGTCAATCCAACAAAAAATAATTTAAAAAATTCATATATTCATTGATAATATTAATAAAATCAAAGAAAAATTCAACCTATTTAAAGTAACTGCGCTCACCTCTGCCACGTGTAATGATAATTAGCAAATGTGTGCAATGAATTATGTATTCCGAAAGGAAACACTTCCAATGACGCCAATAAGAGATTAAATCACCCCTGGTGTTTCCGGACGTTTAACCACATCCTCTGCACCTTATTGCATTACAACAAACTCAACAACAAGCCACAAGCTCACAAAAAGTAGTAATTTTGTAAAAATTAACTTTACCATATGTCACATATCCTGTGCAGATGTCAAAATTGTTCAAGAATACACTTAAAGTCAAAAACTTAAATTCACAATGTACGAGTAATTACAAACGGTTTTAAAAATAATGTTTAATATTAAATTATTTATATATCACAGCATTTAACAAGGAAGACATTTTTAGATATGATATGTTTTATCGACTTATATTGTCACTCACGAAGCCGAAAATATGCCGGTCGTATCATATGCATATGAATGAATACGAATATGAATAAAACTCGTCAAAATTAATGTGTCAGCAGGTAAACGACCAAACGCGTCCAACCCTCGGGTCGCTAATCGTCACGCAATATACCGGTCACCGAAACGCACTGTTAAAACGCACCAAATGATTCATACGCACAAAGCATTTATTAGGATTAACTTTTCAACGTTACGCGTTGCATATTTTCACTAGACTGTTATGAAAGTATGTAAAACACGTATACAAAAATGTTGTTTACGTTTTTTTTGTTTGTTTGTTTTACCTGATAAGTTGTGAAGCCCGACGCGTTCGCGTGTTTGTGCGATGGCGATGCGCACGTGCGCGTTGCAGGTAGCACCGCAGCAGACTGAAGTTCTCGCAGCGAGTCGCAGGAAAGACCGGCCGGTGTCTCGCCACGTTTCCGTGTTTCCGCAAACTCGCGGAAACTGCAACGCGTTGCTCCGGTCGCAGCTGTGCACACAGTCACAGGAAAATGAGACTGCGGGAGGATAGTGGGAAGCATAAGCCGGAAAAATGAGGAAAACGTGTCTTGACTTGCCTTGCACTGATAATTACAGTGATGTCTTTACCTTTACGAAAATCCCAGCGGTTTTCAAACTCCCATGATTCCATATTTAAGGTTATGAGCACCGAAATAACCTAAAAACAAATCTACAATCAAATAAAAAGAATGCACTCTAAAACAACGATGTTTATCATTACAAATACAAAATAAATACTTATAAAGTAATTTCATGTCATCATGCACTTGTTTATCTATTATAAGATTTCTATAAACATTAATTCAGTTGAAAGTTTGTTTCGCATTCTTTACTTCACCGTCTTCGCCATCTTCAGTATCGATTACATGTGTATAACAAAATACAATCGAATAAAGCAAGAGCCAGGACGAATACACTTCGATTTTTATCCGCGTACGTGTGAATACATTCGTGTCAAAAATATATTATTACAATCTGCGCCCTAAGAAGAAATCATATCGATTTAGTATCTACCTCTTAATGAATCCTCATTTCAATAAATATAAAGCTACAAATATAAAAGATGTTCTGTACATATGATCTCTGCAATGATACATTAGTGTCCTGCAACAAACCGAAAGTGGATTACAATAGTTATACTTTGCACGACCGCCTGTTTCCACCTTTTAATGCTACAATTCGTTATTATTGAGTATTGGATGCACCTAAATGTTTAAATTTCTACGTGCACGCATCACTAATCCCTAAAAATGTACAAACGCGTATATTTAGATAATTATTGTATTATTGTGATATTAGATCATCTATCTAATGCAACATGTGACTCACAGTATTGCATTCTAATAAAATCGGGTGTTCACATTTGTTACAGTTGTACAATCACCCAAAACATTTGATCAATTGAATCCGAAGTCTCATTGACGCGCACTCTGAATTTAAAGCATTGGTTTTCTAGTTGTGTTCAATCTAATTACATATCGCAGCATATTGCAGTCTATGATGCTGTACTCAACAAATAATACTCTTTGAAAAGTAAAATATAAATGCAAACAATACAAATCAATTTTTTTTTATCAATTTTCAATGTGTTGAATAAAAAGCTTTGGTTTTAAATGTTACTCTCACATCTCTAATGATTATTATTAAAAGTGTAATAAATACTGGTGTCGCACTTGAATAAAACATAATGCTTCCTGCACAGCATCTTTTTGTGTGATATGTTTTCAACTTAATAATTGCATCAAAACAGTATAAATTTTGCTCAACTTATTACTAAGTATACCATTACGTAGGCCAATTACGTGACTACTTCTACATATTGTTGCTCCTATTCCTCTGTGCACGTAATTACAATAATAAATATTTAGGACCCATTATTTTACTTTTAACTGCACATTCAGTACCAGCGAGTACTTTTTGAGGTTATATTTAACTGGTCGATTTCGTTTGCATCGAAAATAAATGAGCAAAAAACCCAATCACAAAGTAATGATGTTTCGTGTGTAAATCACGTTTGCACAATTACGATTCCTCGACGTCATGATGCAATTGCAGCCATTGATGATCAAGCACATCCTCGGCGGAAAATCGCAAATCAGGCGCAAGTTGCAGCATGTTCTGAATGAGTCCCTTCGCCTGTGCTGACACTTCACCCCAATACTCATCCGGAAAATCATACTGACCAGACAGTATACAATCGAAAAGTTTCTCTTGGTCGTTATCTTGACTCACAAACGGTGGATATCCACAGAGGAGAATGTAAAGTATAACACCGGCAGCCCACACATCAATCTGAAATTATTTCAATGATAAAATAACAAATTTACAAAATATTCATTAGTTTGTACTTACTTTGAGTCCATATCCGCTTTCAGCGAGGATTTCAGGCGCCACGTATGTCGGTGTACCACATACAGTATACAACGGCTCCTCCACTTCGGTCGCCAGCCCAAAATCGCCTAATTTTAAAATCTTAATTCTGTCGCCATCGAAATCGACCTAAAAATAAAAACACAGCTTATTTTTTCCATTACACACCATTCAAAGAACGTGTACTTACAAATAGATTCTCGGGTTTCACATCTCGATGCACGATATTCATGCTGTGCAAATACGCAAGCGCAGATGTCAGATGTGTAATCATCAACGCCGCTTGATCCTCCGAGTATTTCTGAGCGACCGTGATCGCATCGAAAAGATCGCCACCTTTAACCAACTCCACGACAAGGAAAAGCATCGTCGGTGTGTCTTGCTGTGTCACGAAACCCATAATATTTTCATGGTTAATTTTTCGTAGAATGCGCACTTCGTTGTCAATCATATCCTCTTTACCACGACACTTTGACTTGTCGATAATCTTCAACGCAAACTCCTCTGAAGTGGTTTTATCCTTACAAATCCTAACAACTGCGAAATTCCCATCGCCAATCAACCGTCCGATTTGATACCGCTTGAGATTACTTGGCAGTGGAATATTATCATCTTTGCTCAACTTTGCCAACAGATTACCTTCGGATTCATACGTACGATTGAGTTCTTTCTTCGGCAGTTTTGGTTTCGGTCCGCTGCCATTCCTTCGGCCTGGTGTCTTCTTATACGACTGAATCGCTTTGCTTTCTTCGAATTCCAGCTCAATATCGTCGATATTAAAGCGTTCGTTGCCATAGACAAAAAATACATCATCCGCTTGAAAGTACTGACTTAATTCCGTCACATTTTGCCCGGATAATGAATAAACCTTACGCACAGCTCCCGAATCCAACTGCGCGGCGTCTGTTAACGCGCGCAGCACTTGTTCAATACTAGACGAGTTGCGTTTGTTCAACAAAAGTCGAATAATCTTACGCGGTTTGATCCCGTTGCGGATGATCGTTACTATTCGAGGACTCACAAAGTCAGGCGCGATGATTCTAGGCATAGGTGAGACATTTATCTTCTGATTCGAAACGCGTCGTGTTTTTAACATGTCCGTTTTGCTGTATTCGATCTTCTTGAATGCTTCGTTTTTACCAGCACAGATGTATTCTTTACCATCTTCTAGGTCTTCAATTGTTGAGATCTAAAATAATAAAAATGTTAGTTGAGAATATTTATGTGAATAAAACGATGTACCTTTTTGCCTTCCATTGTAAAAATACACCTTACACCACTTGGCAGTGTCACATTCTTCATTAAAACATTGGTCAGGTCAGTGGTGAGACTCTCCAGTGATTGGTAACGCTTTTTACTAATAGGCATGACAATACCAGTGAAGAACTTGTTGCCATTGTGATAAAACCGCACGCGTTTTGCTTTCTCCCGTTCGCCGGCCCGAAGCGCTGAATTCAATCGCGATGCGCTCTTTGTGAGTGTGTTGCCATCTTCAATACCGCCATTACTGCTGTTACAACTGCCGACCATCGCCGGCGAATCATTACAGTTGGGTTCACCAGCGCCGGGGTCCGAGACGAATGAATTGCAACTATTCGACGACAGACTCCTCGCACCGTTCTTGATCGGTGTCGCGCTGCGCTTCTCCGCTGGCATCTTCGCAGCGCCGTTGGTTGTCACCTTGCCGTTCTTCGCGTGCGGCTTATCCAACATATCGCTCACAATCGTATCACACATTTCAACACATTTCGTTGAGATAAACTTGGTGCATGTGCGGTAATCAACTCCAAAGTTAACAAAATTTTTATTAAAACTGACGTATTCAGTGCAACTCTTGTACTTGTCTTGCGTATTCTTCGATTTTGGGAGGCGACGTCGTCGAGCAGCACGGTAAATCCCCCCCGTGATCGCCCCTAACCTCGAAACTATCGAAAACGTCAACGACACCGGGGCCGCTGGGGGTTGTTACCCTTATTTGTTAATTTGCGTGGGCGTCGCGCTGATGTGAAGCGCAATTAACGCTGAATTATGCAGGCGGCGCAGTAATGTAGAGCATCGGGTAAAAGAACGCGTGAAACAAAACGGTGAAAATATATTTTCATTAAAACTGATTGATAAACGTCGGCGGTGTGACATGCAGTCACATCCACGCACAAATCGCACACTGTTTAATCTGATAGCTTGATAGCTGATGTGTAGTGTAAATATTTGCGCGAATGCAGTATTGCGAGTTGCATGACAACCATGAAGAGGTTAATGCTGTCCATTAGGTCCAACTGCCGCACGTATTACTGATTTGTTTAGTTATGATTCACATATCACTTTACGCAAGTGTAGATTTCGTTTATCTTTCACAATGCGGCACACAATTCGACCTGCTGGTCGAGTATAGTTTATGGTGGCGCGGCGATGGCGCAGCTGCAACGCGCTGCTCGCGACTCGCGGAATGAGTTGCGCTGCGGCCTGCGGGTTGCGGCTGTGTTGGCAAGAGACGCCGGCGAACGGTACAATTTTTTACGCATGACTCATCCTCGAGCGCATGAACTCCTCGGGCAGGGAGCGCACTCAACGCACCTACGTAATTCGTCGTCTTCAGTTTTGTTGGACTGTGCGAGCGCAATTTGTCCACAGTTAAAAAGTACTGTAAGGTTTTTGGGCTGCGCATGCGCAGCAGGAAAATGATGAAACTATACACATAAAATAAATTTGTTTAGATTTACTTGAATCAAATTCACATTCGTGTGTTTAATGTTTTACTAGTGCTCAATTAACGGTGATTAAGAGTTGCCTCTTTATTTTGCAAGTGTGCCACGCGTTCCTTCTAGAGAAAATCTTCGTTTTAAGACCGCGTGTAATTACAGATGCATTATTTCATTAATCATCCGTTAATACAACCACAAGTGGATTAAAACCAATTTAGTGTCGAACCGCTCAACTAGTCTCAACTTTCAAGTGTGCTCCGATTATATTTCTCACGTAAATCTATCAATGAGTAACGATTATCAAGAATTATTTGGTTTTATCACCAAAACTGCATCCTGCAACTTCAGATAACATGCATTTTATATCAACAATGAATAATAATGTAAATTGAATGCTGCAAATCTATAGATTTATGTTCTATCAATGAAGTGTGGTTTGATTTCCGCTAGCGAATAAAACGCTCACTTTTTTTAGGTCTTAAGTCGCTGTTTTTATTGATTATATTGAATATTCTACAACAGCAGTTAAAACACGAAGTAACTGTTCACTGTACGTGCGTTCATGTAAGTTTCTTATAAATAAATATTCAGCATGTTTCTTTTCTACTGGATACAATTATTCGGCTTCTAAACGCGGTTATTATTATATTAAACAAATCTAAACAGTTTAATTTAATTTCACATTTATTTTGCACTAATTGTAAGTAAAAATATAAAATATTCTTACACTCAGTATGAAATTCGAAGGCTTGGTATAATTTTACCTACACTTTCGTTCAATTACCGCTCAAATCCCGCTTTCAACCGGGAAAATTAATTAGTTTCGTTTTTCTTCAATGTGCTCTTCATATTTTATGACGGGGAACACATTTTACGATATTATTTGTGTTTGCATAGTTTGCGAATTATTTCAGAAGTAATTCTGTAATTGAGCGTGAAATTTACGCGCACAATGAACCGATTTGCAACCGAGATTCCGACGAAAGTTTATCGGACCTTGCAATCTCAGAAAATTGACTGTCTTTTTTGTTCAGTACTGAATACGAATAGTAAACGCAGCAAGCAAATCATCAACAGTTCTTTTGAGTTTGGTTAATATTCTCATCATAAATATCAATCATATTTTTATCGAAAAATACGATGCATATCCTATTCGGTGTGCAATCAAAAAAATTAATTCCTGCCGAATATGTTGTGTTTTAATTTTACAAGCCGATGAAAAGTTGCGTCCAGTCGAGCCGACGAAAGCATCCGCATTATTAGTGACGCACATTAGTTGCGGCTGGTAAAAATGTGCGGAATTAGATTGCGTAGCATCTGGCCTACGAACGGTCCGTCGTGCCGCGTCAAAGATAATCATACATAATTCATCTGTTTTAATGACCGCGATACAATTAACATTCTAATTGTCTATAATCGCAATAAAATTATGAGTTTCATTAAAGCATAATGAGCGCTGTAGTTTGGGCTAGTGTACCAAACGGTAACACACTGAATCAAGCAGTGTTCATTTGTGGATGTTGTGTTTTCTTTCGGAAATTTCGCGTTGAACAATCTCGTAAATAAATTGTCGAATGGTACCGCTAGCGCCATCAATGGAGAGTTTGGCGAACTATGGCGAATTTCTATCTATAACCTGCAAGAAAAACAACGTGCGTGATATTATTCGAAATTGTTGATTTTTTGCGTTAAACATGGTTCGAAAGTTAAAGTATCACGAGCAAAAATTACTCAAGAAGGTCGATTTTATCTCTTGGGAAGTTGACAATAATTTACATGAAGTTAAAGTGCTTAAGAAGTATCATGTCCAGAAACGTGAAGATTACACAAAGTAAATCAGCTATTTATTCTTGAAACAAAATTTTATTGATATTGTCTTTGCAGATATAATAAACTATCACGAGAAATAAGAGAATTGGCAAGGAAAATCAAGGAAATTGATCAGAAACATCCATTTAGGACAATTTCAAGTGCGCAATTATTAGAAAAACTCTTTTTGCTTGGCCTAATCCCAACAAAATGGGATTTGAGTCTTGCAGAAAAAGTCACAGCTTCCTGCTTTTGCAGAAGAAGACTTGCAGTTGTTATGGTTCGAAGTAAGATAATTCTGATCATTTAAATCAAAAATGATGTATAAATTTGCTCATTTTTAGATAAAATGTCTGAGAATATTAAGGGAGCAACTAAATTAATAGAAATGGGCCATGTGAGAATTGGACCAGAGCTAGTCAAAGACCCAGCATTTCTTGTCTCTAGAACGTTGGAAGACTTTGTCACTTGGGTTGACAGTTCAAAGATAAAACAACATGTTATGGAGTACAATGGGCTTGTAAGTAGATTAATTCACTGTCATTACCTCTATTTTATTGGAGAGTTTATTTTCTTCAATGATAAGCATTTATTTTTACTTGTTATCTAATATTTCTTATCTTTTACAGAGAGATGACTTTATATTGTAAGGCAATAATCTAGAATTAGTTTATTATAAGTTTATAAATTGTGAAATAAAGTGATTTCCTTTGTTTACAACGATTTCAATGATTTAAGTTCATATTTTAGTAAAAGTGTGTCAGTGAAACAACTTGAAACTTCTAACCTCAAAGTAATTGCAAAGGTTTCACTTTGCTTTTTGGTTGCCAACTAAACAAAAGATACCTGCATGTTTAAATCAATTAAATGTACTCTAGTATATAATTATTTTTATTAGTGAAATAAAACTTTGGAAACTGCTGAGTAATCATAATTATTAGTGAATATTAAAAGGTGGATCTGTAGTAGCAGTGTATAAAGCTACAAATAGTTTTGAAGAGTCAGTAAATATGAGGGTTGGTATTTTGAACAGTTTTAAACGGCAATTTTCGACTTCAAGATGCTTATCAAGTGTAAAACCACAAATTTGTATTGTTGGTGCTGGGCCAGCAGGATTCTATGCAGCTCAGCATATTGTCAAGCATATTCCTGACGCGCAAGTTGATATTTATGAAAGACTACCGGTGCCCTTCGGATTAGTGAGGTAATTATATTCTTTAAACAAATTGATTTAACATTATTCGGAAACTTGATGAAAATGTAATAAAAGTTGTAACCTTAGTTCCACTAATGACTTACTTTCGTGAGGGCGCCACCATCCAATCAACTCAAATTTGTTGGGTTGTTTTGCCTTATAATTATTTAAAAATCTAATACTTTGTGTTATATTGTAGATTTGGTGTAGCACCTGATCATCCCGAAGTAAAAAATGTGATCCACACATTTACGAAAACAGCTGAACAGAAAAACGTTCGATTCCTTGGTAATATAAACTTGGGTACAGATGTCTCAGTGAAAGAACTTCAAAATGCGTATCATTCTGTACTCCTAGTGCGTAAATATTTACAATTTAATATGAAGTATACTATATGTTGGATGTAATTTATGTTTAGACTTATGGAGCTGATGAAAATCGACGATTAAACATTCCTGGTGAGAACCTAGACAATGTCCTTTCAGCGAGGAATGTCGTAGGATGGTATAATGGCACTCCGTGGGATAAGAATTTAAAAATTGATTTATCTGGAGATACTGCAGCTATTATTGGGCAAGGCAATGTTGCTATGGATGTTGCCAGAATTTTACTTACACCAATTGATGAGCTTAAAGTGAGAGAAATTGAATTTTAACTGATTCAACAACATATGTTATACTTTTTATATTATTACAGAGTACGGATATAACTCAATATGCTTTGGAACAAATTGCCGCGTCCAGAATTAAAATGGTTCACTTAATTGGTCGCCGTGGACCGCTTCAAGCCGCTTTTACCATTAAAGAACTGCGTGAAATGTTGAAACTAAATGGACTTAACACAAGTTTCAACCGAGATGATTTCTTTGGTATTGATAAACTTGTCCATTCATTGCCAAGGCCGAAAAAACGTATCACTGAACTAATGCTAAACTCAATAGATGTGAAAAAACCCGGCGCTACGAAAGACTTTGTATTAAACTTTCTTCGGTCTCCAGTTGAGTTTCTGCCCAAGGCGGGACAATCCGAACGTTCGCAAGTCGGGTGTGTGAAACTTGCTATTAACATACTACGCGGTGAAGATTATACCAAAGAAGTGGCCATAGCGACATCGCAAATTGAGACTTTGGATTGCGATCTGGCAATTACAAGCATTGGCTACAAATCTGTACAAGCCGACAATGAAATACCATTTGATCAGAAGAAGGGTGTTGTCATTAATTCAAATTATAAAGTTGTTGATAATTTCTATGCTTCGGGATGGTTGGCTACTGGTCCAACGGGAGTAATATTAACAACAATGAGCAATGCATTTGCTACAGCAGATGTGATGACGAAAGAAATTAATAGTGCAATTGATAAGTTACCTTTGAAGCCAGGTTTTGAAGTGATTGAGCATGCATTAAAAGCGAGGAATGTTCAAATGGTTACATGGAAAGATTGGGAGAAGATAGATGAGTATGAACAGCAAGAAGGCAAGAAAGTTGGAAAACCCAGGGAGAAGATTGTTGATATTCAGGAGATGTTAAAAATTGCTGCATAAATATATATTTTTTATGATTAAAGTCGAATCCTAAAATATCATACTAAATTCACTTCAAAATCCGATAAATGTAATGCGTTCTAGGAAAAGTAGAGTATTTGAGTGTTTTTGAAATAAGATATTTAATTTAATTAAGATATGCGATTGCGCAATTACATATTGTTTCAACATTGAGCTTTGATCATAAGTAGATAATATTTGTTTGATAATGATTATAAATTGACGTGGTGCGTTAGAATCAAGTGAGTTTTGCTTTTTAGTTTATTGAATTGGTTATATTGTATAGAAATTACGTATTTGTAAATGAAAGTAAGTAAGTAAGAAAGCAAATCTAACACTATATTATTAATTGTAATTGTATTGCGAAATGTTCTCTTTTCCGAATCTACAAGAATCTCAAATATCTGTTTTAGAATGAATCCATCCAAGTTGCTTAATTTTGGAATATTAAATCAATATGCTAACTCAAACTATGATATTAATTGCGCAATTTGTACAGAATGCAAGAATTGGTTGACTGGAGAGATATTTCTGTATTCGGATCAAACATATTGCGAAATATGTTCTATACTACAACACAATGACTCTCGACGTGATATTGCCTTAGAAAGTGTGCTAAACCAATTTCTTTTTCCATGCAAGTATTATGATTGTGACTACATCTTGAAGAGGAGCCAAGTTGATGAACATACAAGAAATTGCAAACATAGGCAATTTGATTGCAATTTCTGCAATATGGAAGGTATCAGTTTAAATAAATATGAAGACCATCTCAAAAGCAACCACAAGGATAAAATAATCGACCTGGACAAGCCAATTTTAAAACATACGCTGGACGCAGCAACTAAAAATGAAATTTTAATTGCTTGCCTGAACCAACATACTTTTCTAATTCACATTAAACGAGACGAATCTAAATTAAGTGTGAATATTGCACGTATTGAAACATATGTTGACTCAAATATAAATAATAACTTTACAGTTGGTTACAAAAACGATGAACTAAAACACAAGCAGTTCACAGTGCTGTCCGCCATTAGGTATAATTCAAATCCTAACATTGATATTGACGTTCCGCAGAATGGAAATCTTTTGTTAAACATTTCTTTATGTGGGTTTGAAAAAGTGCTCCAATTGCCAGAGTGTCCAATTTGCAATTATGAGTTAAAGTTAAAAATCTATCAATGTTCAAATGGACATAACGTGTGCAATGGATGTGGGAAGAAATTGAACATATGTGCAATATGTCGAGACACCTTGAGTGTTGTAAACCTGCGTTACTTATTTCCAAGTACATTATTAATGTTATGTACAAACTATGAGAATGGCTGTCTGAAAATTGGCAATGTAGATGATTTAGATGAACACATCAAGAATTGCCTTTATGCCCCTATAAAATGTATTGAGTGCCAGCAGGAATGTTCGAGACGTAATATTTTAACACATTTTAAAGAAAAGCACACAGTCTACAGAAACTATGTTCCTTTACTCGTATTGATAAAAGAAGTATTTGTTTCAAATTATCATATATATTATTCTTTTAAAAATCAATTATTTACAGTTAATTTTAAAACTACTGGAAGTGGTAATAAGCTGAAAATATGTTTCACGGTGCGATTATTATACAATGAAAATATTGACGTAGCTGCAAGATACAGATATGAAATTCATATAGAACAGAGTTATTTTAGTAAACCTATTTATACAATGAAAGGAGTATGTCAAGTCGAAAGTGATAAAGATACATCATCATGGATTTATTACAAACTATGTCCTATAAAATTTAACAAAAATAATGAATCATATTTTAGGTTTATGTTTGTATTTGTAGATGAAAATGATAACATGTAAAATGAATTGTAATAACACTATATTGTATGTAATTATAAAACCTATTATATTCTATCTAATTATATGTAACACTAGTACTTGAAATTTGAGTAGTTTAATCACGTTTAATCATAGCAGTAACGCTTGTGCGGCTAATAGGTATAATTTTAAACTGTGTTTTGACACTTATATAATTTTATAAAACAAACAAAAATGTCAAATTCATTTAAAATGTCAAAAGCCTTCAATAAAAATGCAAAACGCGGACAATGTAATGTTTTTGGGAATGCAGATATGGAATTTTATAACTTACCCTGTTTTGTAGAATGGAACTACTCCAGAGCCAGTTTTCAAAGGTGAAATTTATACCCGTCGCAATTATTTCGAAGATGGACGTCGCAAAATCGATTTCGTTCTTGTCTCCAGTATCATCAAACTACCCTCAGAACTGGATACTCTTACCTTTTTTATGACGGAGTTAATCAAATCAGGAATTCAATATGAAATATCACCGGGAGACGTAATTTGCAATTTCTAGTTTTAAGATATAAATTAAATGATATTCAATCCCCAATAGGCTGCACCAAATTTGGTTTTCATCAAACTACATTGTCCCAGGCATGTTTTGGAAGAATACGCCAATTATCAACACTTTATTTTTGATTATAAAAACCCACGGATCCTACGCCGACGAAATTGCTTCTTTCCTTGGAGTATTTTCCACAATGTCACAACGGAGATTTGAACTGATGATCCGTCCTACAATCGGGCGTTGTAAGCATTTTCAAAAGTTACATATTCACAGCTCAATTAAAAGTTTTTTTTTTCATTTTTATAGCGGTAGTTTGTCGAGTAACAAAGTACGACACATCACCAGTTGGGAACGGTCGTTATTAGGGTGGGGGTTGGTGGTTGGGTAAGCTACAGCCACGAAGTATAGATAAAAGGAGTCCGAACGGTGTAGGCTTTTTCGTCGTAGTCATGGTTCACAATTATATACAAAGCTAATAGTTCACCTTTCTGCCACTGGGTGCGCTTGAATCACTAGTGAATCGATGTACGTTGGTTCGTGTTCATAGCAACATTGAGACAATTTGTTTACATGACGTTCGTGTGTTTAGATACTTCGTGATTATTATTACACATGAACACGTGCTGGATTGTGAATGTTTAATTGAATTCAATTAAATTTACAAATACATTTTTAACTTTTATATGTATGTATACATTAATTTGAATTGGAACGTGATAGTATTATTTTTTTGAACTAATTTATTTATTGAAAATTAGTAGTGTTGAAAACATGGGAAGGTGTTGTGCAATTCCAGGATGTTTTAGTGGCCGAAAGACTAGTGAGAAGGTAGAAAAAGTAGTTTTATTCAAAGCACCAAAGGTGAGTAATATCTTTGAAAAATATGTGTTATAAACAATTAATTTATAACTAATAGCCCTAAGATTTAAAAATATGTTGTAATCTCATGTATCTTGTGTAATTTTTATATTAATTCTTACAGACTCCGGAGGGAGTAGTAAAAAAAAGACATTGGAGCGCTCTGCTACAACATGAAAATTACTTAAAACCTAATCTAAAAATGGCTTATAAATTGACTCCTCACCATCTTAATCCCGAGGGCTACCAAAAGATGAGTGTTCCATTAGCTACAGAGGTATGTGCATGAATGTATGTGATGTAATATATGTGAATGTATGATTTACAATAAAGTACTTACCAAATAAACCTTGATAACTCAATATTTTAATCAATTTGTTATAGCTATTCTCTGAGTCTGTCTCAAATGCGATGAAGGTATTGAAAGATGAACCCAATTCTAGTGAATTACATGACTGTGGCAGTACAATAACTTTTATCGAGAAAGTAAATAAATTAATTAAAGCTATGTCATCTAGAACTCCCGCTGATGCTTTAAGACCAGTTGATGATAATGTTTCGAGAAAGGTACCCTAAATATTCTTCAAACGAATTTGTTGGATTATTTGAAATTTGTTATTAATAACTCGCCATAACTTCTTACTTTTTGATAGGCTATTGTTGACTTTGACACTTTCGTAAGAAATTGGGAGATCATAGGTAAAGAAAAAATAGAAGAAGCTAAACGAAGGAAAAAAGTTGGTGAGTCAATGGACGTAGAGAAGCTGAAAAGCTTCTATTTAGCAATAACAACTAGTACCCTGACTGGACTAAAAATTTCGCTAGGATCTACGATAGAATTAATAAATTTTTTTACATCACGAATGTAATTACGATTATGTAATGACCTCTCGATTAACCCAAGATATGCTTGAAGTGAGTTGTTGTGCATTTTTCGTTACTGTTTCACTAATAAGTTTAAAAGTAACTCTTAAGAAAATTTGTCTTTTTCATTATAATTGTGATTAATTCTAATCATTTAATAACGCAATTATATAATTTTAGAAATTTTTTGGAATTGCTAGAAGTGCGTGTGGGTCCAACGACCATCCTGACCCAATTTTATTTTCACAAGTGTTCCGATTGCTCTGTTCCTATTCATTGGCAACACCTCCAAAAGGATCCAATGTGACTGCAGGAGAGTTGTTATGTTCCCTAATGCAGACTAGGGAATCATTTGAAGCAAGTAATACAAATAAGGACAACTGGAGCAAGAAAATTGATGCAATAATTGAAAATGCATCTGGAAACCTTAACAATACAGACGGAAATACCAGCGATGACAATGACAATGGAGTATTATTAAGCTCGGTGGACCATGATTATGACATTGCACAAAATAGCCACTATGTCATTTCCTATATTGCGGGATATATAGCCCGTAAAATAAGTAGATTTTCCAAATGCTTCGATTGCACGAAAGCTATGCACACAAGAACAGTGAAGGCTCAGGACAAATATATAACATATATGGACAAAGGGGCGTTAATTTATCCAAGTGAATCGTTGTTTCATTTAATTTCAAGCTTGGAAGAAATTGTGCTAATGGTTGTAGGCACAAAAACAGTCAAAATTGATACCATGTTTGAAATACTGGACGAAGTTTTAAAAAGGAAAATCACAATTTTTGTTGGCTGTGAAGACCATAAAAAAAATTTGACCAAAAAAATAATTAATAATTTTTTAATAATGCGAGGACATTTTCTAGCCAAATGTTTCAACAAATGTGCTACCGAGAGGACAGTTAAAACTAAAAAATGCCGGAAGCTATCTAAATTATATTAATAAAAATTAAAGCAATTTGTATTTATTTACTTAATTTATTTATAAACCTTTTCTTTGCATTCTTCTTTTTTTTTATTTTTGAATAAAATGGTGTGGTTCCTGATATTTTTTTTATGGTTATTAATTAATATCTGATTTTTTTTGCTTTTCAGATTATCTCGGTATCTATAGGTACTTCGTGTCACGGATTATCCCTAGTTTCATGTTGAATTTTTTTCCGGCGGTGTCCATAGTAAAGTATTTAAACGCGTACACTAACGCATAGTGGCGCGCTCTATTGGCGAATGTTTGGTCCCCTAGATCGTGACCATTAATTTAACATGACGTTCGGACTCCTTTTATCTATACTTCGTGGCTACAGCCGTCGGACTCGTAGTCTTTTTTTTTTCAAAGTTATATACAGGATGTTACGGTAGTGTCTTACGTGTGCAGGGTCGGCTTTATTGTTACGTGCAAGTATGCAGGGTAGTATTAAGTACGTACCGTACTCTTAACCGGCCCCTTCTACCACAAATATTACCAAACAAGGTAGCCTACCTAACCACCACCCCCCACCCCCTACTCCACGACTACCCCTACCTCCCAACCCACTAATCAAATAACTAAGCTTCCTAACTTTGCATTGTAAAATGTTTCTTATTACAAATCATGCGACTTGCCCTGTATTCTATATAGTTTCGTTCAGTCGTGTGCGCGCGAAGAAGCACGATCATGCTCCGAGCTTTGAACGTGCGCCTGCGCATTTTACAAGTCTGAGAAATGGACCTAACCCTGTGGTTTACCATATTGTCTCAACATTGAGCTTTGATCATAAGTAGATAATATTTGTTTGATAATGACTATAAATTGACGTGGTGCGTTAGAATCGAGTGAATGTTGCTTTTAGGTTTATTAAATTGCTTATATTGTATAGAAATTACGTATTTGTAAATGAAAGTAAGTAAGTAAGTAAGAACGCAAACCTAACACTATATTATAAATTGTAATTGTATTGCGAAATGTTCTCTTTTCCGAATCTACAAGAATCTCAAATATCTGTTTTAGAATGTATCCATCCAAGAGGTTTGATTTTAACACATTAAATCAATGTGCTGACTCAAACTTTGATATTAAGTATGTAATTTGTACAGAATGCAATAATTGGTTGACTGGAGAGATATTTCTGTATTCAGATCAAACATATTGCGAAATATGTTCTATACTACAACACAATGACTATCGACGTGATATTGCCTTAGAAAGTGTGCTAAACCAATTTCTTTTTCCATGCAAGTATTATGATTGTGACTACATCTTGAAGAGGAGCCAAGTTGATGAACATACAAGAAATTGCAAACATAGGCAATTTGATTGCAATTTCTGCAATATGGAAGGTATCAGTTTAAATGAATATGAAGACCATCTTAAAAGCAACCACAAGGATAAAATAATCGACTTGGACAAGCCAATTTTAGAACATACGCTGGACGCAGCAACTAAAAATGAAATTTTAATTGCTTGCCTGAACCAACATACTTTTCTAATTCACATTAAACGAGACGAATCTAAATTAAGTGTGAATATTGCACATATTGAAACATATGATGACTCAAATATAAATAATAACTTTACAGTTGGTTACAAAAACGATCAACTAACACACAAGCAGTTCACAGTGCTGTCCGCCATTAGGTATAATTCAAATCCTAATGTTGATATTGACGTGCCGCAGAATGGAAATCTTTTGTTAAACATTTCTTTATGTGGGTTTGAAAAAGTGATCCAATTGCCAGAGTGTCCAATTTGCAATTATGAGTTAAAGTTAAAAGTCTATCAATGTCCAAATGGACATAACGTGTGCAATGGATGTGGGAAGAAATTGAACACATGTGCAATATGTCGGGACACCTTGAGTGTTGTAAACCTACGTTACTTATTTCCAAGTACATTATTAATGTCATGTTCAAACTATGAGAATGGCTGTTTGAAAATTGGCAATGTAGATGATTTAGATGAACACATCAAGAATTGCCTTTATGCCCCTATAAAATGTATTGAGTGCCAGCAGGAATGTTTGAGACGTAATATTTTAACACATTTTAAAGAAAAGCACACAGTCTACAGAAACTATGTTCCTTTACTCGTATCGATAAAAGAAGTATCTGTTCCAAATTATCATATATATTATTATTTTAAAAATAAATTATTTAAAGTTAATTGTAAAACTACTAGAAGTCGTGTTAAGGAGAAAATATGTTTTACGGTGCGATTATTATACAATGAAAATATTGAAGTAGCTGCAAGGTACAGATATGAAATTCATATAATTCATAGATATCATAATAAATCTAATCATGTACTAAAAGGAGTATGTCAAGTCGAAAGTGATAAAGATGCATCATCACGGATTTATTGCAAACTATGTCCTATACAATTTAACGAAAATAATGATCCATGTTTTTGGTTTATGTTTGGATTTCAAGATGAAAATGATAACATGTAAAATGAATTGTAATAACACTATATATTGTATGTAATTATAACTCCTATTATTTATTTATTTGTTTATTTAACGCCGCTCGGCAATTGTACATAATAATTTACATAAAAAAAGATATAAAATATGATAATTTTACAACATAATGAGATCGTGTCTAAACAAAACAACCAAAATGTCAGATAATCATACCAGCACTAATTTTCGCGCAGCACACTTCACAGCATTGTTCGATACACTATACATCGCCGCATATTCATTGATTGCAGACGAAATCCTATACAGTGGCGCTCGTGTACAGAAGCCAGACTTGGCCCTTGGTATGGAAAGTACCCTTGGTACTCTCAAACTGGTGTTTGGCACGACGAAATCCAGTAACTCTATTAGGTCAGGAACATCCAGAAGGCCATTGATAAGATTTGCACCGAAGCATAGGGTCAAGTATTTTCTCCTACTGGCCAGCAGGTTGCAGCCTGTATATTCGTACCCTTGTTGACGATTCATAATTATATTTCTACAACTATTATGAATTTTTGTTGTACCTTCTCAAGTTTTTCCATTTGATGGTTGTGAATCGGATCCCATACTACACACCCATACTCCATAATCGGTCTCACAAGTATATTGAAAAGTTTGACCAGCGTCTCATCTCGTCTAAAGTCATTACTTGACCTCAGTATACTTCCAAGTATTTGGTTGGCCTTGGCTGAAATATTTGTGATATGATTCTCGAAAGTCAACTTGCTGTCCACGTAGATACCGAGGTCCCTGATCCCTTCAACTTGAGGTATAATGTCATTGCCAATGTAATATTGATGATGGTTGGAAGACGTACCCCTACAGAACTCAATAATCGCACACTTCTTTACATTTAGTTTGAGTCTGTTTAGTTTACACCACTTCTCCAGTTTATCAATATCCTCTTGTAGAGTATACATGTCCTCATTGTCCTTAATACATCTGAATAGTTTGGAGTCATCAGCGAAAAGTGAGTATTTAGACTGCAATGGGCAGCCAATATCATTGACAAAAATACAGAATAGAATCGGTCCAAGGTGCGAACCTTGTGGAACACCAGACGATACACAAAATTCCTTGGAAACGTGATCCGAGATCTTGACCCGTAGACGCCTCCCCTTCAAGTATGAAGCGAACCAGTTGAGAAGATTTCCAGATATCCCATATTCCTCTAGCTTTAGTAACAGTACCTCATGGTTAACCATATCGAAGGCTTTGCTGAAGTCCGTGTATAACGCATGGACATCCATCCCCTCCGACAGATGTTTCATGATATATTCTATATAAACCAACAAATTTGTTACTGTTGATCTCCCTTTAGTGAAACCATGCTGTTGATTGATCAGAAATCCTTTAAACCAAAATTCAAGACTTGCAAGTATCATTTTCTCAAAAAACTTAGGTAAAGCGGACTGAATACACACTTGTCGATAGTTGCATGCATCAGTTTTGGACCCTGACTTAATTCTATCTAATCATATGTAACACTAGTACTTGAAATTTGAGTAGTTTAATCACGTTTAATCATAGCAGTAACGCTTGTGCGGCTAATAGGTATAATTTTAAACTGTGTTTTGACACTTATATAATTTTATAAAACAAACAAAAATGTCAAATTCATTTAAAATGTCAAAAGCCTTCAATAAAAATGCAAAACGCGGACAATGTAATGTTTTTGGGAATGCAGATATGGAATTTTATAACTCACCCTGTTTTGTAGAATGGAACTACTCCAGAGCCAGTTTTCAAAGGTGAAATTTATACCCGTCGCAATTATTTCGAAGATGGACGTCGCAAAATCGATTTCGTTCTTGTCTCCAGTATCATTAAACTACCCTCAGAACTGGATACTCTTACCTTTTTTATGACGGAGTTAATCAAATCAGGAATTCAATATGAAATATCACCGGGAGACGTAATTTGCAATTTCTAGTTTTAAGATATAAATTAAATGATATTCAATCCCCAATAGGCTTCACCAAATTTGGTTTTCATCAAACTACATTGTCCCAGGCATGTTTTGGAAGAATACGCCAATTATCAACACTTTATTTTTGATTATAAAAACCCACGGATCCTACGCCGACGAAATCGCTTCTTTCCTTGGAGTATTTTCCACAATGTGACAACGGAGATTCGAACTGATGATCCGTCCTACAATCGGGCGTTGTAAGCATTTTCAAAAGTTACAAATTCACTGCTCAATTAAAAGTTTTTTTTTCATTTTTATAGCGGTAGTTTGTCGAGTAACAAAGCACGACACATCACCAGTTGGGAACGGTCGTTATTAGTACATAAAATGCTCATGAGGACCAAATTCAGTGAGATTAAAAACGAAGAAGGCATTAATAAGTTAATCGCTTTGAATATTCTTAAAGACGCTTATGCAACTCACGATGGTCCAATCGAATGGCACCAAAAGGGACCACTGACCGATCGCCAAGTAGGTTCAACTGAATAAAAAATACAAATTCACTCACTCGCCTCCATTTTTAGCTTTTGCATAAATATTGGGCAAATATAATGGTGTTCTTTAAGCATCAACCAATTCCATTAATATTTAAGTATTTTGGCCCCGAAGTAGCGTTTTATTTCGCTTTCGTTGACTTCTACACGAAAATGCTGGTGGTCCCGGCCATTTTGGGAGTGCTATTGTTAATTTTCAACGCAATTAGCCGAGATTATTTTGACACGGCACGCGTGTTAGACATTTTTATACTTTATGATTAAAATTCGTTTAAAAAATGTGATTTTTCAGAACTGATATCTGTGAGAGTAAACAAAACCTTTGTACGTTGTGTTTTCACAAACGAAACTGCAAATTTGCACCTATTAAGAGTTACTGCATAGGAGCGTACGTGCTACCAATTTTTGATAACATCGGTGGCGGTATTTTCGCTGTTTTTATGGGTTTCTGGTCAATTGCATTTTTAGAAATGTGGAAACGTCAAGAATATATGCTGAAATACCGTTGGAATTTAATTAATGTTGAAAGCGACACAGCTTACAGGTATTAATCATATTAAAATGTCGCTTTTTGTTGCAAATATGAAATTTTAGAATAGAGTTTTTGAAAACGGCCAAACACACACATGTTTCGCACGTGAGCGGAGAAAAAGAATATTATACACCGATAAATCTCAAGATTATTAATTCGATACGTACTCTGGGTGGCCTATCTTTAATGGTAATTCATACAATATATTATAAGCAATATGGCAATGCTGTGTTTTATAGTTTGCAGTTGTCTTGTTATTGATTTTACTCAACACACTGTATCGCGTGGAAATGACCAAAGTGATTACTCGTTCAAGTCTGGAAACGCTTAAACGCCACAAAGCTTTTTTTATCATGAGCACATCGGCTATTATTGGTACAATAATCATCACGTATCTTGCGCCGGTAAGTGCGCACGCGTGCTAGCGCACACTCACATGCTAACTTCCATCCAATAGTATTTCAGGAAATTCTCCGTTTATCTAACAAACAAAGAAAATCCGAAAACCTACGTGGATTATGTGAACGCATGCATTTATAAAGTATACGCGACGTCTTTTGCCAACGGATATTTTCCATTCTTCTATGTCGCGTTCATAAAGGGTGCGTTTTTTACATATCCTGGAGATGAAGATGTCTACGATTATTTTGGACTACGCGTGGACATTTGTAATGTTAATGGATGTGCGTACGCACTCACAATATCGCTGATTTTCTTTTTTGCGTTGAAAAATTCGACGCATCGTTTGCTGCGAGCGATAATTCCAATAATCACCGACAAAATAAAGAGAGAACGAGCTAAGAGGCGCCGAGTCCAACGTCAACGAAATGTGGCCACCTGGGAGCGTGATTATCGATTAAAAAAAGCTGGTGACTTGTTTATGCTGGGTCTTTTTATGGGCGTAACAATGCACTATGGTTACGTGCTGTTTTTCATAGCTGCACTGCAGTTGACACCGATGATGGCGCTGCTCACCAGTATTGTTAATTTACGCATCGATGCAATTCACATCTTGAAAAACTTTCGAAGACCTGTGGCAAAACAGCTGCCTGGCATTGGCGCGTGGAATAATATCTTTCAAATCATGACTTATATCGGAACCGCAAGTAATGTACTGTAATTTTGGAATTTTTCTTCGTGAAATTACAACGTTAAAATGTTTTATTGTAATTTCCAGGCGTTTGTGATTGCATTCACTTCAGATTTATGGCAAAGAGAAATTTATCGACATTTCCATTCGAACCTTACCGGATATATAAATAGTACTTTATCAGAGTTTTTGATTGAAGATTATTCTCAGAATGTCACTCATATTTTGCATCATCATGGACATCATGATGTTGAGGTGTGCGTTTATCGTGGCAAGCGATTTCCATATTATCACGAAAACAAATATGAGCATTCTGATGATCATTGGCATGTGCTTTCATATAAATTAGGCTTTGTTGTTGTTTATGAAGTGAGTTTAATTGATTGTAATCATTTCTGTTACCACCTGTAATCATTTTAGCAATTACTATGGTTTATTATCTCGATGGTTTCAATTTTTCGAGAGAGCATACCGCAGATTATAAAAGAACATTTGCGAAATGAAAAGTTTCAGGAGAAACTCGCTCGGTTTGAGTTTCTCCGCGAGGCGCCGGCTGATAATAAATCGGATATTCATGTTGTTAAAGATCACGGCGATATTGCAGATTTATTTGAGATGGTTGATGCTAATTCAAGTGATAATAATTATTATATCTCGTAACATATTTAGATTTTGTTTCATATTTAATTTATAAGTAGACTAGCTTTTGCCCGTGACTTCGTCCCGATAATGTTTAATAAAAATGTTCTACACTCTTGTTCTACACATAGTACCTATGTGTTAATTTTATCAATAAGATTCAAAATTTTATTGTAAAGAAATTAATTACAAAAAGAATTGCTAATAATGCACTTCAACGCGCCATCTCGGATTCAACTATTTAACTATAACTATGACTGAATCTCAATGCAAACATTTTTCCAATAGAAAATTGCTGTATTTAGGGTTTTACCAGCAATTGAATTTTTCTCGCCGTAAAAACCATCCTTGGACTTTAACGAACATTTAAAAAAAATAATTGGCCAAATTGGTCTAGGCGTTGTTGAGTTATGCGCTTACCAACCCATTTTACGATTCATTTTTATATTATAGATTTATAAGTAGATTATTAATCAAGTTACCCGTCAAAATACAAAACAATCAAGTTTTTGACCTTTATAATAATCAATCCATTACTGAATTAATAATTTATTTACATTATTACAAAATGTTGCGGAAAAGAGATTCGTCCACATTGAACGCCATGCTGCGAGAGAAGAAGATTCACGCCACTGAATACGTAAAAAATAATCTGATATCTTTAAAATAATTTTTGATTTTTGATGTTAATGTTTTTTTACAGTTTGGTGAAGTGGTTGAGAAAATGAGCACTCTTCGCAAAGTGCTGGAGCAAACTGAAACGGATCATGCAATGAAACCTAAATACCCATCATTTGATGGCGATAGTCGTGTGATTGATTTCGTTCTTGTTTATGACAAAACGTCAAGACGACCGTCGAAAGAAAAAGTGAACGCGTTTTTAAAACATTTAGTCGCTGAAGGATTCTCAACAGAAGGCGGAGAATCAGATGTACGTAATGAAAAATAAATTACAAATCTATAATTTAAAAAGTGAATCGCAAAATATGTTGGTAAGCGCATAACTCAACAACGTCTAGAACAATTTGGCCAATTCTTATTTTAAAATGTTTGCTAAAGTCCAAGGATGGCTTTTACGGCAGAAAAAAATCAAATAATTACATGGAAAATCCAAAAGACAACCCTTTTCCATAAGATAAAAGTTGGCATTGATATTCAATCATAGTTACAGTTAAATATTTGAATCCGAGATGGCGCGCTGAAGTGCATTATTAACAATTCTTTATATAATTAATTTCTTTAAATTAAAATTTCGTATCTTATTGATAGAATTAACACATACTATGTCTAGAAGAATCAAGTAAAAACGAATTACATTTTTATTAAACAAAACCGAGACAAAATCGCGGGCTAAAACTAGTATTAAATAAATTAATTTGCAGGTCTATGAACATCTTATATTCATACGAATTCATTGCAATCGAAATAAATTGGTTAAAGCCGGTATTATCCTCGATATGAATCTTGAATTTCTATCGGAACGCAATGAAACGGTCGACGACGACGTTTTCTTCAATTTTAAGTTCCTTTTCAATGATGTTACCAAACCAAAAGAACGAAGTGATGTTTCACAACGAGCTATGTATTAATACTTCCTTATTATTCTTCTTTATTATATTTACATCATTTCCTTTTTAATTATTAGGGAAGCTACCTTTAATCGCAAACCTAAAGATATTACGCAAACAGAACGTATAATGATAACACATGAATTGTTAAAAAACACGCGATATGGACCGGCAGATGATGAAATCGGTATAATGTCATTGTTTCACAAAGGTTTCCTTCACACTTGTTATCCATTGCATGACGGTCCGTGGGAATGGTCAGAAGAAGGACCATTAAATGACAGACAAGTTAATATAGCAATAATATTGTGAATTTGTTGTATTGCACGTTTATTTATGCAGGTTCTGATGCAATATTGGGCGTCACCTTCTAACTGGTACAAACTGCAACCAATCAACTTAGTCAGAAGATATTTTGGACCGGAAGTGGCCTTCTACTTTGCGTTTTTAGGATTTTTCAACAAAATGCTTATTATTCCATCGTGTGCTGGGATAATAACTATCTTCTATGGCCTTCTTACATATATAGACAGTCGAAACTATCCATCGTAAGAAATATCACTTTATAAAAAGAGTATATTAAGTATCTAGTGGCTAAACAGGAGTTTTAGTCACGGGTTTGATTGAGAGTGAGCGTAGTGAGCGTATAACTACGTCTAACCACTTTTTTTTCTACTTTTATTTTATTTCCACGTTAAGGTTTCTATATTTGAACTTTTGTATTTTAAATCTTTGAAATTCATTTGTACACAATTGTAAAATGTAAGGTTTAAAGTACTTTAGTCACGACTTTGGACATTTGTGTTTAAAATACACCTTTTTGTGTTTTAAAAACCTGAAATAAAAAACATTGTGTTTCAGGCAAGAAATCTGCAAAAGTAACATAACTATCTGCCCACCATGTCATGACATGTCAATTTGCTACTATGAACGTTTGGATAACGAATGCTACACCTCAAAAATAGCCTATATCTTAGACAACATATCAACTGCAGTATATTCAGTGTTTTGGTGCTTTTGGAGCACAATTTTCTATGCGAAATGGAAGCGTCTGGAAGCTGTGCTCATGTTTCGCTGGAACTTGATGGATATTGAAAACGAAGTGAATATTCGTCCGGCTTATTTGGAACGTGCAATGCGGCAGAACGCTCTCAGACACAAAGAAGAAAATGGAATCAATTATATCGACTTGACTGTGGATCACACACAACGTGAGGCTAGATATTTGCGAATCTTGCGATACTGCGCTTCTGGGATAACTATAACCATACTGGTAATAGTAAAAATATTAAAAGAGTTCAGAAGTGTTACGGATATGAATATATTTTCAGGTTTTATGTATATTTCTGGTTATATACTTGGCTGTCGTTGTGCGTTGGTGGGTTGGGAAATGGATCGGACGGTTTGATGGACAATTTTCTTTTCAATGGAAAATTTTGCTTGTAACAACTGTGGGCAATCTATTTGTAATTCTATTTGTTTGTATTGCCGAAGATGTAATCTTTATTGATTTATATTAATTATATTTTTACTTAAATTATTTGATTTTCAGTTGTTTCGTCCTCTGACACATCTCGTTACTGATTTTGAAAATCATCGAACTCAAGAGGAATTTGAACAGGCTTATGTTTACAAATATGCTGTGCTATGCTTCATTACATCGTATTCTTTTCTGTGTTACACTGCATTCCTGAAAGGACGCTTCTTTTCTTATCCTGGTCATGAAATGCAATACACGCTTTTGGGTATTCTTAATTATGACCTGGAAAAGATTCACACTTCAATGATGTCTGTTTCATATCAATGGACGATGATGACGTTTGGGAAAGAAACTTGGAGATTGATTACGCTGCAAGCTCGCCCGTTAGTATTAAATAAAATTTATATTTGTTTGTAGTTACAATAAATTTCATTTTAATTAGGTGGTGGAGGAGATATCAAAAAACGAGGGATTTTAGGCAAAAGACTTCTCAAATATGGGAGAAAGAATATCAACTGCATAGTCATGATTATCCATACATGGCAGAAGAAAATATGAAAGTTATATTACAGTATGGTTATTTGGTGTTGTTTCCCGGCGCAAATCCCTTTGGTCCACTCTGTTACTTTCTCTTTAATCTTTGGTCGCTGAGGTTTGACGCTAAGCGCACTCTGGTGCATACTCGACGAGTTATTCCTGTAAGATCGGCTGGTTTTGGTCCTTTTGGGCCATGGTTAAAGCTGATCTTAATGCTTACGATACTTGGTATGGGTACGAATGTGTTTTGTATTGCATTCACTTCAAACTTTGTGCCTGGAATGTGTCACTGGTTTAATCCTTATTATACTAACTTTGTAGACTATACATTTTCGCGTATGTACTGATATCACAAAGATCTAAATATTTTTATACTGTTAGAGATTTTTATTGTTTTAGAATTTGCATTAGATGATTATCCTCTTGAATTTGGCGAGGAGATAAGAAAAGGAAATGTTGGTAATACGAGTATATGTTATTATAAAGGTAATCGCTTTCCGCCAACATCACCAAAGAAATACTTTAATACAATTCAGCATTGGAATCTTGTTGCTGTACGATTTCTAGCTGTTTTATTAATTCAGGTAAATATATATAAAAATTAAATTAAATCTTATGACTAATATTATAAAATTTTGTAAATTCACAGAGTTTTGTAATAATATTCTGCGGATTGCTGTTATTTGCATTGAGTACTACGCCGCATTATATTAAAGAAAGTTTGAGACATCGTGAGCAAATGAAGGAAAAACAGCGCGACGAAAAGTTTAGAAGAGATAAAGCAAAGACTAGCACTGGAAATGCTGATTTGCGGAAAGACTTTACAGTTATTGGCTATTGATATATGCTGTGTTTAAATTGAATTGAATTTATACGTGAAACAAACTTTGTTTGTCTCATTCTAGGCGGCGTTGTGCATCGCGCACAAACAGCTGCATCCAAACGCAATCCATTCTACATTTGTACGTGTTTGCATCAACATCGTGTTGTTTATATTTCGAAAGTTTTTAATTCGGATCTCGTTATATTCGTTCGGTAATTTTTGCGACCTAGTGCTAATACACGAGTTAAGAAGTTTGCTAAGGATTTATTGTGCTTAGACTATTAGTAAGACACGAATTTAGTGTGGTTCAGTGTGCGTGAGTTTGCCCCCGTCGGTGTTGATGTGTCCTGATCGATGACTTCGCGTTTGTATTCGACCCGTGAAAACCTGACAGATTTATTATCATAGTATTTTTTGCAATACTTTGATTTCCGAGGTGCATTTCGTCGATGTCGGAGGTGAGGTGTATGCGCAATTACGTCCCGAAGGGCCGACGTCGCAGGCGCTTCGCATAAATAGCTTTAATGCCGAAGTCGCCGCAAACCACCACACGAGGTTTTGGCATGATAATATGTCATTTTTCATTGCGCGCACGTCGCGGAATTCGGCGTCACCGCCGATTATAAACCTAAATATGGGCCGCAGTCACGAAACTGTTTTTGTGATAAACTAGAAGCGGTAGAATAGTTGTCCATATCTTGTTTTTATTTTGACGTGATAACGTCTTTAAAATCGTTTTAGTCGGGTGACATGTTCAGAAACTTCACACCAAAACCTCACGAGGCCGATCGCAGGTATAACGAGAGAGAGACGGACCGATCTCCCGTCTCATCTCGAGCGCTGCCAGTCATTCCGTGAAACTTGTCACGCGGAATCCACACGAGCGGAGGCAGGCATAGCGTTCGAGTGAGTGGACCGATCTTCGGTCTCTCTCACTCTAGCGGCATACAAACGAATGGAGATTTTCTCGTGCGGTTAAGTTTTCGTTGAATGTTTAACAGTGAAACAAAATGTGAAGTGCAAGTGAAGTGTTATAACAATTGCAACAAAAAAACTTATATCACCAATAAGACGTTATCACGTAAACATCTCGATCGTAAACCTACTTTACAAACAACTTAAATTTTTTTATGACTTGCTATCTTTTATAATTTAGAACATATTTGCTGTCGAAAATCATCGAAAAAGATTATTAAGCACTTTCATCTCTTAGATTTCCAATGTAACTATAGTATCTTATAGAGAATTATCCGTAGATTAAGACTCTGCGATTCGTTTACGAGAGTTTACGAGATATGCGCAATTGAAATAAATCGTCAAAAATTTATAAATTTCAATTTTTAGCACTTTCAGTCGCGTTTTTCGACCATTTACCCCCTTTAAATTAAATTATTTGAAATTTCCATCTGATAGAGAATTTTCCAATCTTCCATAATATGCAGTTTTGTGGTTGTTATCTCTTTTAGTTTGGAAGATATTTGCTATTGAACAGCGTCGAACAAACATGACGCAATACTTCTATGCCTATTTTTATCTTCTGAATTATTTTTTGATTTCCTAGATTTCTTGTTAATGTAGCTTATCATATCGAAAAGTTTAAGAATCTTTAATCTGTTCCGTTCTATCGCGTTTAGTTCTTAAGGTAATCGAGTAGAATTAGAAGATTTTCTTTATTCATCGTTGTCATATATTCATGCCGCATCCATTTGCCGCATGCAGCACATTTTAGTATAGTTCAAAATAAAATTGAAATAAAATTGTATTCTTTATTTCTATATTAATCAGCAAACGTGGGCATTCGACGCGAGGATTGTGTTTGTTTTGAACACAATTTACTATCATATTAGAGCTCGAGAGTTCCTTTACAAGATGCATGCTCCTCCAACCTTCCAGCCCTTCCGGAAGTGCCCTAAAATGCTCCTCAAAAATAAGCAATTTCAAAACAATTTGAAAACATGATGTGGAAAACACCCTGTATCTAGTAAACTAATTGACTTTCTTAGAGTTTCTTTTTGTCGGAATAGAGTTAGGGAGTTCCTCAACAAGATGCCTATCTTCCAACCTTGCAGCGTTTCTGCAAGAGCCCTAAAATGCCCTTCAAAAATGAACAATTTCAGGTAAATTTGAAAATATGATGTGAAAAACACCCTGTATCTAGTAAACTAATTGACTTTCTTAGAGTTTCTTTTGGCCAGAATAGAGTTAAGGAGTTCCCCTACAAGATGTCTATCTTCCAACCTTACAGCGTTTCTGTAAGTGCCCTAAAATGCCCTTCAAAAATGGGCAATTTAAAGAAAATTTGAAAACATGGTCTGGAAAACAGCCTGTATCAATTGAACTAATTAACTTTCACAGAATTTCTCCACTCCAGAATAAAGTTAGAGAGTTTTTCTACAAGATGCCTAACCTCCAATCTTCCAATCCTTCCGGAAGTACCCTAAAATGCCCATCAAAAGTGGGCGATTTAATAAAAATTTGAAAACTTGATGTGGAAAACGCCCTGTATCTCGTAAATGATTTGATTTTCTTGCAGTTTCTTAACGTTATCTTAGAGTTCGAGAGACCCTCTATTCTAAGTATATTTTTTTAACTCTATGAACCCTTTGGAAGTACCTTAAAATTCCCTTCAAAAATCGCTAATTTCGTCCAATAAATTTCATTTTTGGTCGAAGAACAAGGTCCAACTTTTCCTGATACATTTTTTTTTGCCAAGGAACAGGGTCGAACTTTTGTTGTTAAAATTTTATCGGTCGAAAGAGTCGAACATTTTTTACTTAAAATTTTTTGGTTGAATTTTTTTTTAAATTTTTTCGGTCGAATTTTTTTGTAATAAATTTTTCGATCGAATTTTTTTGTTAAAATTTTTTCAGTCGAATTTTTTTGTTAAAATTTTTTCGGTTGAATTTTTTTGTTAAAATTTTTTTGGTCGAAAAACAGGGTCGAACTTTTTTACTTAAAATATTTCAGTCGAATTTTTTTATTAAATTTTTTTCGGTCGAATTTTGTTGTCAAAATTTTTTCAGTCAAAAAACGGTCGAATTTTTTTACTTAAAAATTTTTCGGCCAAAGATCAGGATCGAACTATTTTGTTAAAATGTTTTTCGGTCGAAGATTAGGGTCGAATTTTTTGGCAATTATGCCAATAACGAAGGGTCTTCGAAAAACGAATGCATTTTTCTCTAAAATTGTAAATAGAGTCTAAACGGTTAATGTTATCAAAAAAGTTAGCAAATTAATCAATGTAGAATTAAATTATCTATCAAGTTTCTGATTTAAAATATAATAAAAATTAATAGTTCCATGCATAGTACGAGTACAATTCTCTTCATGTTCTGCACTACCACACTGAAAGTGTCAGTGTTTACAAACAAACATGTTTTCTTATCTCGTGCAATTTTTGTGCGATCGACACGCGGTTGGCTTGTGTACCACGTTAGTCTCATTTTTGTCGTCAGGTGATCTGCACGCACATTCTCTTCTTTATTTTTGAGTTGCTAAATGCTTCATCGATTGTGCGCGATTGATGTGCGGGGTTCGTACCTCGCGGATTGTACAAACTCAGAGGTACGAGCGTGAAGCGTAAAGCGTGAGTGATGTTCCGTCGGTCGTCGTATTCTTTTTGTATTATTAGCGTATTTCATCGGTTCTACAATGTGCATAATTAAGGTCCATACAACTTATTGGATATACCAAAACGCTAAAATTTATTTTGCATCAAGGTATGTTCTCGCATTTCTTCAGCCGTTTGAAAATCAAATCCATTATTGACTTTACTTGTTTGCGCTTTTCCAATTGTTTTGCATGAATCAAAATAAAATTCTGATTTTTGCTTTAATTTTTAAATTTTGTTTTTGGATTCCAAAAGTAAATTAAATTCTGAATGCAGTAACACAATTACAGATTAATTTCCTATATGTAAAAAACAATTTTTGAATTAAAAATGCAAATTGTATCAAACTAATTGACATTGATATACCAATACATAAATAATAAAAATATACAATACTACCTACAATTATCACCACACCAGGTCCCCAACTAGATGTGTACGTCGGCTGACAATTCTCTTTCCCGCTTGGTCGGTCGTGCGCGGTGTTGACGTGGGCACGTGTTTTGTTCGGGAGTCTATCTGCATAGTTATCACGTTTTCTTATAGTATTCTTGTATTATACTCGATTCTCGAAGCACTATTTAATTTAATTAACCGATTGTTTGTTTTTCTCCGTTGGGTGATTATAATATTACTAAATCGTATAAAATATTTTTGTTTTAACTTATGTTTCTTTTTTTGACGTTCAGAAACTTGTGTCACGAGGCCGATCGCAGGTATAACGAGAGAGAGAGAGAGACGGACCGATCTCCCGTCTCATCTCGAGCGCTGCCAGTCATTCCGTGAAACTTGACACGCGGAATCCACACGAGCGGAGGCAGGCATAGCGTTCGAGTGAGTGGACCGATCTTCCGTCTCTCTCACTCTAGCGGCATACAAACGAATGGAGATTTTCTCGTGCGGTTAAGTTTTCGTTGAATATTTAACAGTGAAACAAAATGTGAAGTGCAAGTGAAGTGTTACAACAATTGCAACAAAAAAAACTTATATCACCAATAAGACGTTATCACGTAAACATCTCGATCGTAAACCTACTTTACAAACAACCATTTTTTTATTTACAGTGCTCACCGTTTCCTGGAGTCTGATGAGTTCTGCATTGGTAAGCTTATAATTAAATTATAGTTTCCTTTCAATATATGCGTCGAATATTAGTTTGCATGTACACGTATGTAGTTTTGTTATCGCGTTCTGCCGCGTATTGCAAAGACACAATAAAGTCGGCTACCTTGCTAATAAATCTCAGAATTAACTGTTCCTTTTCTAACAAAAGCGCAATAGTTTTTCACTTTTTTTCCAAAACACGGGGTGGAAAACGGGCCATATTTCGAGAGCCATTTGTCATATTTTAGTTTTTTTATTTTATGGTAGGGTAAAAGTGCATTTTTAAGATGCACCCATGAACCTTTGCGAAATTCGGGCGTAACTGCCTCAAAATGGCCGCCAAAATTT